GAGGGACAGAAATGGAGTGCTGAGCTGCATCGTGGCTGCACACTCTCGGTTCCTCGGGGTAGACTCAAAGCACCGCTTTAGAAAGGAGCACCAGCATTCTTTAGGCTAAGTGCCTTTGGGACCATCATAGTGGGGAGTGAGTACCTGATAGAGGAATGAAAGGGAGAGACCTTAAATGTCCCACAGTCCAGTTTCCTCTATCCAGGGACTCTACAGCAAGGTCTCCTCCCCTGTAAAGCGCATAACATAAATGCTCCAGGCTTTGCTGCCCAACAGCCTCTGGAGGACTCCACTGGATGATATAACAGTTGTTTTTTTTTTGTACTGAGGATCGAACTCGGGACCTTGTGCTTGCAAGGCAAGTGGCGGCACCACTGAGCTAAATCCCTGGCCCTGGAGGACTCCATTCTGTCCTTGGAGTGTGGAAGCAGCTATGCACGATTTGTTAATGATGGGCGTGGCTGTGTGCCAATAAAACTTTATTTACAAAGACAGGCAGCCTGCAACTTTGGTCCCAGAGTCCTAGATTGCCAACCCTGCCCTACAAACTTGTAAGTCCTCTGTCTTCTGCTTGTGTGTCACAGGACCAGCTCCTCCCTACCTGGAGAAGCAGCTCCTGGAGCTGAGAGCTTGTGCCCACATCTCGTGGCCCTAACTCAGTGCTGTTGCCAGAGGAGTGGAGGAAAGGCACCTGGCCCCTGTGATTTCAGAGGGAAGTTCCCTAGGCCTCAGGAGATGGGGTTTAGGGACCAGAAGGGATGAAAGCAGAGAGACAGCCATCCAGGTGGGTCCTAGGGGTGAGCAGGAGGACAGCTTGTGGTGATTCTCCCTCCAGGAGACCTCAGGCCTTATCTGGTGGTGGAGTCCCGATTTGTAGGAGAAGCTGCAGGGCCAAAGGGGAGGGTGGGTGGCTCAGTATTTATGAGGTAGATGCACCCATGCCTGGGCTTGTTCTGCAGTCCACATTGCTGTCCCTTGCTGTGGTTACCCTGGACCACAGGCCTAGAAACAGCGCAGGCCAGGGGACAGCCCCAGAGACGGGGGGGTGGGCTTGTGTGTTGCAGGGAGAGCTCTGGGAAGACAGGTGCCCCCTCCTCACATGGACTGTGGTGGGCTCTGGGGGGACAGCTGAGTGTGGGACCCACAGACGTTGAGCACCTACTGTGTCCTGGGTAGCACGAGGGCTCTAACAAGATGGATAGGAAGCCGTCTGCGTCTCCCAGGGAATGGAGGTGGTAAAGGAGGACGGCTGACTCCCTTGAGGCATGCTGGGATAGCCTTTGACAGAGGCTCAGGCATGTGTGTGAAATCCCTGAGCCCCAGCACATAGTAGGTGCTCAAAAAATGGTACCACAGGAAGTGGTAGCGGCTGTCAGCGTGCTTCGCTTTGTGTGTGTGTATAAAATGATCATTGCAGCTCATGCAAATCAATCACTTACAGTGTGCCTGGGTACTGGTACTTTGCATGTATCATTTCATTTAACCTCTGCAGCACCCTGTGCAGTAGGTACTACTGTTGTCTCCATTTTACAGGTGAAGAGGGATCCCGTACCATAACTATAATAGGTAGACCTGGAATTCAGTCTTAGATCATCCTGTTGTCCCCTCCCTGGCCCCTGTTCCCCAGCAGCACAGGCCCCAAACAAGCGAGTGAGGGTGGCCGTGTGTCTGTGTGGGGGGAAACCAGCTCAGTGTCACAAGGACGCTGCGTTAGTGTCCAGGGAGACCCTGCTAGTGGCCCCGGTGAGGCTCCTGCAGCTCTTGCTGTGCCCTAGGCCCCGCTGTGGACACCATCAAGTTGCTTGTTCCTCACAGCTCCTGTCACTGTCCCCCACTGAACAGATAGGGGTGACACAGGAATGGAGGTGACCTGAGCGACTGAGTCCAGACCTCTGGGTCTAGACCTGACATCCTGGATCAGTCTGTGCTCTTTTTTCTCTTCCTTTTTCACAGTACCGGGGATTGAACACAGGGCTTTTGAACTGAGCTACTTCCCAAGCCCATTTTTATTTTGAGATATGATCTCCCTAAGTGTCTAAGTTGTCCAGGCTGGGGTGGAACTTGGCATCCTCCTGCCTCAGCCTCCTAGAGTACTGGGACTACAGGCATGCGCCATACCAAGCTTAGCCTGTGTTTTTAACCACTGATCCCTGTTTCTCCCAGATGTTCCTAGCACACCAGGAGGTTAGGAGCAGGACAGGTGGTGGGGAGCTGCCCCCAGTCACACGGCTGATTCTGTTGAGCCGGCACTGGGGTCCCTGCCCATGAGAGCAACAGCCCTGGAGAAGCCACTTGACGAAAGTCCCATATAGAGGAGGAAGAGGAAGAGGCCAGGAAGGCAGAATCCTAAGCCCCCCTCCCAGGGTCAGCTGTGTGGGATCCAGGTTCAGAGCAACCTAGGGAGCCCTCACTCTGGGGCAGCTGCCTTACAAGACCCAGGCCTCAGTGGAGGGGCTGTTGCCTTGGCTGCCAGGTCTTGGGGTCCCAGAGGGCTGCCCCAGCTCCCGGGAGCATCCTGATTCCCACATTCCTTGCACCTCAGGTGACTCTGCTTGCAGCACTCCCTCCACCCGTGTTCAAACACAAAGTAGCCCAAATGCCAGATGCTGCTGTTCACTGTCAGTATTTCAGGCTTCACGTGATGCTGTCCAAACACCACCATGAAATATGAACAGATTAAGGTTTTAACAAGCAAACAGTGCAGATCCCAGCCATACCAGGACAATGAGTGGAGGGAATGGCAAGGTCAGGAGGGACCACGGGGACACCGGCTGCACCCCTGGAGGCCCAGGGCTTGTGAGGTGTCTGAAGGGAGGTGCTCGACAGTCTGCCCTCAGGTCCCTAGACTTTGGGATGGACCAAGAGAAAAGACAGTGGAGTGTGGCACTTGATCAGAGCCCTTGACCTTGGGAGAGGGCAGTGATCAGGTCTCTGGGGTCGGAGGGGGACAGCAGGCAGGACACAGATGTCCTTTCCAGACCTCACTCCCTGCTCCCTCCAGCTGGCCCAACAGGGCTCTCAGTGTGTTGAAGCAGCTGCCGTGGCCCCTGTTGCTGGCCTTTGCTGACCCTCCTGGGGGCTACAGCACCCCTTGCTGGTCCCTCTGCACTGACGCCCCCTGAGCCGCATGGGCCAGGGTCGGGGGGACACAGCCTGGACTCACGAAGGCCCCATGCTGTTGGCCCCCTCACTTCCTTCCACCTTCAGAAGCCTCTGTCTCTAGGAGCTTCTTCCCCAAGAGCCTTCCTCCTTGGGTGAGAGGCCACATACTGTCCCTGAGCTCACAGATACACAGCCTCAGTTTCCCCGTTTTGAGGTCTCTTCCAGCCCTGGCATGCTTGCACCCTCTGAGGTGGCAGAGATCCCTGCAGTCCAACAGCAGCTGAGGTGGCTGTGAGCTAACCTGACAGCCTGTCACGCAAACAGGCCCAGCTGGAGCGAGCAGGGACTGCAGCAGCTCGTGGGGGTAGGGACAGGAGACAGGGCAGGGCCATCGGCTGAGGCCAGGGCTGGGAGCTGGCCAGGCTCAGTGGCTGGCATTAGTAGTGAGCCAGGGGGTGGATGCCTGGTGTCCAGTGTCGGGGGCGAGGGGGGACAGTGACCCATTTGTACTTATTTGGAGAGGGACGGGGATGGCAGCGGGAGTGGCAGGCTTCAGCCTTGCTGGGGCCCAGTGAACTGTGGCTATAACTGAGCTAGTCTCGTGAGTTGGGGTCTAGCCTGGTTCCCCAGTGGAGCTGAGGTAGCCGCTCCCCAGAACTCCAAGCAATCTGTGGATGGGTCCTCAGCCCAAACCATAGCCCTTCCAAAAGCCGCTGTGCAGGTGAGGACCCCGGTGCCAGGCTGACCGAGACCGCAGGTGGCCCAGGGCACCTGAAGTGGCGCTGCTGGGTCTGCCTTGCTGGGCACCTGGACAGAGGCAACGGCTTTGTGAGCATCTGTGTTCAGGAGGGACCAGGCCACTACTGAGAGGGACTTGTCTAACCCGGCAGTGCCTTCCTAGTGGGCATTCAGGCCAGGCAGCCGCTCCAAACCCACTGTGGTGGCCACTTGCCCCCCAGCCTAAGCCAGGATGGCAGAAGTTCTCTGGGTGCTTTCTGGCCAAAGCCCTCATCTGCATCCCCTGGGAATTGGACGGGGTGATGGCAGCTGCTGATCTCTGAAGCTTTCAACATAGGTGGGGCGGTGGAGGGTCTCTAATCCTCCCCAATGGAAGAGATGGGCAGAGCTCTTAGGAGCAAAGGATGACCTTGAGAAAAAAGTGAATTCTGTCAAAAGTTGAGTGAAATAACCTCCCTCCCTCACACTGCTGTCAATAAACCTCCTCGGCAGAGGCGCTGGGAAAGTTTGCTCCAGCGGAGCCTCCTGGCTTGGAGGCTGTAGCATTTGACTCTGTGATAAGAAATTGCCAGGCGCATTCTAATTACAATTAGCATCATCATGGATGTCTCTCTTAATTACTTTCTCATAATTAGCTGTTGCTTTTTCTCAGCATTTGTATACTTTGCAGATTCGCTGACATTTGAGAGCCCCAAATAGGGACATTTGGGGAGGGGGGGCAGAAAGGTGGGGGCAAGGTCTCAGTTCTTCTCGGGAGCCTGGGACATTTCCCGGCCTTTGAAGGAAGCAACTGAGACAAGAAAATGCAAATGAAGGGACAGGTGACTTCCTGTGCAGAGTGAGCAGCAGGAGGGGACTGTGGATGAGGGGCTGGTTTGCCAGGAGTCTCCAGAGGTTAAGCCCCGGGAAGAAAGTTCTTTAAAAGCCACCAAGCCTTGTCATTTCTGGGGGTTGGGTTTTACTTTAGGAAACGAGGCTGGGACAAAACGCACCCTCGGTGGATCTCTTTCAGTTAATTAAACTGTGCAGGCCTTGAGCTTGATTTCCCCCAGCCAGCGATGTGTCCCGAGCGTCTCTGGCACCAGGGCGTTGTGACACAGCCGGTTCTGCTGCTCCTTGCCGGATGGCTGGCTTCACTGTTGTCTTTTGCTCTCCCGCAGCCCTGTGTACGGAGGAGTGTGTGCACGGCCGCTGTGTGTCCCCCGACACCTGCCACTGTGAGCCCGGCTGGGGAGGCCCTGACTGCTCGAGCGGTGAGTCTAGGCTGTGACTCGGGCGGGGCCGTGGCAGTGTGTGCTGGCTGCTGGGCTGGGTGGGCATCGGGGAGCAGGGGCCTGCAGTACTGGAGATGGTACCTGTGGGGGTATGGGTGAGGTTCTGTGGGGCTGTGTGCGTTCCAAGTGGAGAGAGTTGTGGGGTCGTCTGTACGACCTTGGCTTTTGGTGGAGCACCTCCAGATGTCCCTGAGGGCCAGCTGGCTGCAGACCCAGAAGGCGCCATGGACTAGACCCGGTCCTCGGCTTTATTAGGTGCCTCCACAGGGACTGTTTATGAGACTGATGGGCACCAGGGAATCCTCTGCCAGGAGCCCAGCTGGAGACAAACCCTTCCCTCTGGCGCATTTCTCCCAAGTGTTTGCAGAGGACACTCAGCCAGCTGGTGGTTGGTTAATGTCACAGTCTTACCGGATTATCAGAGGCCATGGCTGGTGTGGAAGCCCAGGTTTCTGCCTACTTTGGCTGGGGCAGAGTCTCTTTATGGTGACCTGGCCATGACATGGCCAAGCTGATCTACTAGGTTCCAAGCCTCATTATGTAGCTATCATGGGGGAGGGGGGGCTTCGTGTCCCTTACCCCATACTGACTCAGTGGCCGTGCAGACTTGGAGAGGATCATGTTGGCCTCGTGGGGGGGGGGGGCTCTTGCCCTCTCTTGCTCTCCCTGCTGGGTTAGAACCATCCAGTTTAGGTCCTTTTTTCTGAAGTCCCTGAGTGAACCCTCACTGTCTGCCTAGCATATGAGCAGCTACCGGCCAGAGCAGCCAGGCCATGACAGGAGACATGTTGGTTGGGTACTATGTCTTGCTTCCTCCCGGCCATGCTGTGCTTTGTATAACTTCACTTAGAGCGGATCTTGGTTAAAGGCCTATCAGAGTTGGGTCTGGAGGGCCCTGCGGGGATGGGTCTGCCGCCCAAGTCCAGTGCTGAGAGCCGCCCACTGGAGGTGACACCTGGCCCTGCGTGCATGTGACTCCCCTTGCTGGGGAGGTGTGGGGTGGACACAGTTCTCAGGATGGTCCTGAGCAGTGGGCAGACACTGTCTTCTCAGGGTGGGGGAGACGGAGTGATGGTGGCACTTGGTGACCAGGACGTGGCCATTCAGAGTAGGTCTTGTCCCCAGAGTGAGTTCGCCAAACATAGGGTTAACAGTCCTGTTACTTGGCACAGAGTTAAAACCAGTACCGCTGGGCCGGGGGGTCTAGCTCAGTGGCACTGCACCTGCCTCGCAAACGCAAGGTCCTGAGTTCGATCCCCAGTACCAAAAACCCCCCCAAAAACCAAAAACCAGTACCGCCATCAGGCTTGGTGTGGAGTGGTCCCCAGGCAGCTTCTGCTCCGTTAAATGCACCTGCAGTAGCTGAAGCACCACACACTCAGGTCTCCATAAAGTACTGAGGAGCCCATGGGACGTCCTAAAAGATGGCTTCCAGGAAGGTTCTCTTACATCAACTGCCTAAGAATTGCACTGTAAGAATCAGCAACCTCTCCACAAGTGAGTGCATCTCCATCCATGGTGGTCAGGCTGGTGTCCAGATTGGCAACACCTGCTGGGAGCTCTACTGCCTGAAACGTGGCATCCAGGCAGATGGCCAGATGCCAAGTGACAAAACCACTAGGGGAGGAGATGACTCCCTCGGCAAGACTGGTGCTGGAAGACACATGCCCAGGGCAGTGTTTGTAGACCTGGTACCCACAGTCATGAATGAAGTACACACTGGTACCTACTGCAGCAATTCCACCCTGAGCAGCTCATGACAGGCAAGGATGATCCTGCCAGTAACTGCCCGTGGGCACTACACCATTGGCAAGGAGATCATTGACCTCATTGTGCACCGAATTTGGAAACTAGCTGACCAGTGCACAGGTCTACAGGGGTTTTGGTTTTCCACAGCTTTGGCGGGAGAACTGGCTGTGGGTTCACCTCCCTGCTGATAGACCCTCTCTCCATTGTCTACACAAGAAGTCCAAGCTGGAGATCTCCATTTACCCAGACCCCCAGGTTTCCACAGCTGTAGCTGAGCCCTACAACTCCATCCTGAGCACCCACACCACCCTGGAGCACTCTGATTGTGCCTTCATGGTAGACAACAGGGCCATCTATGACATCTGTCATAGAAACCTCGCTATTGAGTGCCCAACCTACACTAACCCGGATAGGTTGATAGGTCAAATTGTGTCTTGCATCACTGCTTGGGGAGGTTACTCGAACTCAAACCCTGAAGGACTCTCAGGAAGCACTGCACAGGGATTAAGTGCAAGAGCTCCAGGCCCAAACCATGACTCACTACTTCCTAGTTGTATGACCTTGGGGAACACATTAAGATCTCTGAGCCTCCTTTTCCCTGGAAAAAATTTTGAAAAAATAGTCATATTTACCTCACAGACCTGTCTTGAGGGTTAAATGAAATAATTTAAATAAAGTATTTAGTCCTGAAATGTATTAATGCTCGCTGTTGCTCCTGATGGAGCCTTGACTATTGATCTGACAGAATTCCAGACCAACCTGGTGCCCTGTCCCCACATCCGCTTCCTTCTGGCCACATGTGGCTGTCATCTCTGCAGAGAAAGCTTACCATGAGCAGCTTTCTGTAGCAGAGATCACCAATGTCTGCTTTGAGCCAGCCAACCAGATGGTGAAATGTGACCCTCTCCATGGTAAATACATGGCTTGCTGCCTGTTGTACCATGGTGATGTGGACCCCAGAGATGTCAGTGCTACCATTGCCGCCATCCAGACCAAGCGTACCATCCAGTTTGTGGACTGGTGTCCCACTGGCTTCAAGGTTGGCATTAATTACCAGCCTCCCATGGTGGGGCCCGGTGGAGACCTGGCCAAGGTGCAGCGGGCCGTGTGCACGCTGAGCAACACCACAGCCATTGCTGAGGCCTAGGCTTGCCTGGGCCACAAGTTTGATCTGATGTTTGCCAAGCGTGCCTTTGTACACTGGTACGTGGGAGAGGGGATGGAGGAAGGGGAGTTTGCTTAGGCCCGGGAGGACATGGCTGCCCTAGAGAAGGATGATGAGGAGGTTGGTGTGTTTTCTGTTGATGAGGAAGGTGAGGAAGAAAGAGAGGAATACTAAAAATGTCACAAAGGTGCTGCTTTTACAGAGAATCTTGTTCTGTTTTAAAAATTGAAAAGTTGTGGTCTGATCATTTAATATGTAGCAGTGTATGCTCTTATATACAATTACTGACCTATGCTTTATAACATATATGCTTTGTTACAGACCCAAATTGTCCATTTCTCTGCTGGGTTTTGAATAAAGTATTCTCTGTCCTAAAAAATAAATAAGAATAAAAGATGGCTTCCAACCCTGTTCGGGAGGAAAATAGCATTGAATTAAGGGAATTTAAAGGTTCTCACTTTCATGATCACTCAGAGCACTGAACATTTAAATGCCCTGTGGAGGTTTCCAACCTCTGCTTGGATCCCTCCAGTGACAGGGAACTTACTACTTCCCGTGGAAGCATCTTGTGACTATTGGAAAATTTCCCCTTCTATCCAGTGGAAATCTATCCCTGGCATCTACACTTGTTTCTTGCCTGTGATAAAGGCCAAGGGAGGCAGGGTGATGGGTCGACCGGAACTTCTCCCAGGGAGCCTGGTGGACAAGGCCTCAGGCTGTGTACAAAGACTGCAGCCACTGAGTCCCCATAGAAGAAAGCAGGGTGCATCGGTGAGCCAGCTGTTCAGGTACAGAAGACAGCCACCCGCTCCCTCTCTGGCTTCTTTTCTCCCAGCTGCTTTATTTCTCATGTGACTTCTGGGCTGGTGTCTCCTCCCACAGCCCATGGCCTTTATTCCCCTAAAATGATTGCTCCTACGTCTGACCACACAACTGCAGGTTCCATCTGACCAGTGTGGAAAAATAAAAATGGAGATTGCTACCATTTATTGAATTTTACTATGCATTAGGCACTGTATTTATATACTCGTTTAATCTTCACGACAACCTTATGATGTGAGAATTATAAATGGCCCCATTTTACCAATGAAAAAGTTTCAGCACAGAGAAGTTAAAGATGTTTCAACACACACGGAGAATAAATGGTGGAGCCAATACCATCACCCAGACAAAAACCTGGGTCCTGTGCCTGAACTCTTAATTATTTTCTTCCTTCTGTGGACCCCCCCTTTTCTCCTCTCCTCCCTCCCTCCCCCTTTGTTTTTTTGTTTTTTGTTTTTCTTCTGGTACCAGAGATCGAACTCAGGACCTTGCGCTTGCCAGGCTGGTGCGGCGCCACTGAGCTAAATCCCTGGGCTCCACTTTGTTTTTTTGAGACAAGGTCTCACTGTGTAGTTCAGGCTGGTTTTGAATTTACTGTGTATCCCAGGCTGGCCTTGAACTTGCAGCAATTTTCCTGCCTCAGCCTTCCCAGTGCTGGGATTACAGGTGTGCACCGCCACACCCTTCAGGGTGCTAAACCTCTCATAATCCAGCCTAAGGTGGAAATAGACCTTCAATGCGAAATCATAGTTGCTCACATGGGAGAGGAGGATCTGCCTAAAAGAGATGTCGGGGAGATAGAGGAGTCAGGCTCGGGATACGAGTTGCTAGCAGCCTGGGCCTGCTTGCCAATATGCTGTTGGACCCCTGGCTGCCTGCCATGGGCCCGTGACAGGGGTGGCTCAGGTCTCAGTGGGTGCTGTGTGTGTCCCTAGCAAGCTCTGAATGGACCTGTACATGGGACACCTTTGCAGAGAGGCCTCGGTTTGGTTCCATTGGAAGCAATTGCTGGTCTGCTTTTTTCTTCCTCTCTCTGATTCCATGTTGAAAAGAAAGGTCGAAGCTCACCAAACATGTAGACAAAAAAGGAGGCCCCAGAACCTCCCAGAGATGACCACTGTGGCCCTTTGGGTGCTTGTCCTCTCTGTCACTTCTCTAAACATTTGTGTATACAGCTTCTTTCAGAGCACGTGTGCGTGCTAGTCCATAACTTGCTTTTTAAATTCACCTTTAAGTCATGCTC